GATCCCAGGACTCCAGGATCATGACCTGAGCCGAAGGCAGTCGCTTAACCAACTGAGCCACCCAGGCGCCCGAACATCATCATTTTTACCACTAGAATGTTTTTTTTTTTTTTTAATGGTCCACTTTATTTTTCAGATCTGACAAAGTTCCCATAGATGTCACTTACGACCTCATTGCAGGATGTGATGGAGCATACTCCACTGTCAGAAGTCACCTCATGAAGAAACCCCGCTTTGATTACAGTCAGCAGTACATTCCTCATGGGTACATGGAGCTCACCATCCCACCCAAGAATGGGGATGTAAGTCCTTTCCCTTCTTTGGCTCCTCCCCACAGCCCTCCCACCCCTCGGACTAGGGAAAACACATATTCTAGTGCACTTGTTCTTGGCAGCATGTCTGGATGAATTCTCAGGTCTGTCATAGTCCCTCGTAAGGCATAATAAGTCAGGTGTGCAAATATCCCTTTAATAATATCACTTCTCTCCCTTGCCTTCGAGATATGCTTTCTTGAGTGGGCAGGAAAGAAGCAGCATCACAGCTACCCTACTGGAAATGCACAGGGAATTTGTCTGACGTAATCATGTCATTTTCCTATTTTTTCTTGGGAGGAAAAAAATGGGTCAGGAATCTTTCTGTATACTGACAATCAGAGTTCTTATACTCATGACTATATCAAATAATCGTTATTAAATAAAGTGAATAGAAGTTGTTGCAAAGAGATTTCCATTGCATTTTTCTCATTTCTTAGTTCCCAAGTTCAACCCTATGTGGCTTGAGGCAAGTACATCCTAGGTATGTTTTATATCGTCGTAAGTAAATAGATATAGGAACTGACTAAGGGAAATTAAAATACTAACAAAAGCAACAAGGATCTTGGCTTATAGGTAAAGATAAGTAAATAGTGTTCATTACAATGTGATTTGCATAGAAAACATCTGTTTTTGAGGTACAGATGCAATCTATCCTATTTGAAATTCAGATGTCTATAAAATAGCTAGTCCATTTGTGATAGTGCTATTACACACCAGGTATATAACCAAACTGTATCAGCCAGTCAAATCTGTATTTTAACATTAAATCATTGTCTATTTTTTCCTCCTAGTCACAAAAGTATTTAGTAATTCTGAAGTGCTAGTCTTATGGTTTTCAGGTGAGCCTTGTTCTCATGGCCCAGGATCTGATAATCCTGGGTTACAGGATATTAGGATCCTGTTGAAAAATTACCCCAGATGAGTGGAGTCATGCCTCCTAACGTAGATTTAAGATCGCCATTTATTTTTTCTAGGTGTTCATATTTAATAGTGATGATTAGTGGTTTACAAAAAGTCTCTGCTCTTAAAGAAAGAACAGTTTGACATAGCATTGGGACTCAGACCTGGAAGTATTTTAACATGGCCCCAAAACAATCCTAGGAAAACTCCCTTCCTTCCTTCTTCCCTCCCTCCTTCCCTTCCTTCCTTCCTTCCTTCCTTCCTTCCTTCCTTCCTTCCTTCCCTCCACCTATCTCTGTCTCTCTGTCCTGTCCCCCCTTTCTTTAACATAATAGACTCTCCATTCCATCTCCGAGGGTTGGAGTGGGGAAGAAAGATTGGGTGAGGGACAGCATGGGTGAATATTGGGGAGGTGCTTAGAGAATTGGGTGGGAGGCTCATCTCGAAGCTGCTTTTGCATAGCAAGCACCTTTTTTGCTCACATTTCATGTTTGGAAAGACTTGTGGTGAGGACCCAGTGGGGATTATTGGAGCCTGCTCTTGGATAAAGATATCTATTGAGAGCATGACTTGATAATAAAGAAGCTGAAATTTTAAAGGATTATTTTCTAGAGTCGTGAAATATGTATGAACATCAGAATATTCTTGGTATCATAGTTGCTACATCAAAACAATATATAAACCACTAATGGTGAGGATGGGGCAGGGGGAGGGGTATGTATTGTCTCCCAAACTTTTTCATCAGCTGTTTGAACCTTCACTAATGTAGTAAATGATAAATCAGTTTCAGAGCTTCGCTCTTATCTTTTGGAGTTCTAAAAGGTCATAGAAGTGGTCTAAAGATAGCAAAAGGAAAAGCAAGGACCATGTACCTCATCCCGGCTGGTCTCCTTACTCACAATTCCTAAACTCCTGACCTAAAACACTGCTCATTTCTGCCGCCTCTGCTTTGCTCAGCAAGTTCACCCCTCCCAGAAGCCACCTTCCTTTACTTCTTATCTAATCTATGGATCCCTTTGTAGTTTTAACCACTCCAGCCCCACACATTTCTTCCCTGCCCAGCTTTTATTTCCTATCCTTCAACTTCAGCATCTGCCTAGTCAACTGCATTGGAACCTCTTTGAGGGCAGAGAGTTACGCACTGACTCATTTCTGTGTCTGCGTGTTGAGCTTATTTTGAGGCTCTAAGATAAAAAGCCAGGAAGGAAGACACAAAGAACTCTAACAAGTGTAAAAATGCTGGCTAGGAGACTATGCTGCCCTTTCTGTGTTCTTCTTACCATGTAAGATACACACATGGCAGGTGCTCGCATACTTGAAATGGTTGGAAACTGATTACATGTTCCTATGTGTATCATACCCCCAGGAACCTCCAGGATTAGGGTCAGTTGGGTGTTTGGGTCATTTGATCTGCCCAAGCAATCAATACTCACTCAGGCTGCTATTGGTTTGTTGTGGGCTCACTAAAAAGAGAAGACTTCCTTCTATTATTTATGTTGTAGGAAGCAAATGATAAGAGGCTTGTTGGCAAAATTTTATTTTGCCCATGAAATTTAAACTTAGGACCTTTCTGTTCACACAAATAAGTCCCCAAGTAAGGTGAAAAATAAAGTATAAAAATATCACACACACACATATATGGACATATACATATATAGTTTATATGTTTATGTGTATAATGTATATGTATATACATGTATGTGTTTATGTGTGGGGGTGTGTGTGTCTGCGTGTGGGCTTAGAAATGAAGAGAGAAGGTGAGAGAGAGAGAACATCTCAAAATCTTGAATTTCATCTGGTATCAAGAACCCACCTAAGTTATAGGAATTTCTAAAGACAGGACAGGAAGGGTTTTTAAGACAACTTCTACTTTAAATAAGAGAAGGTGTGCATATCACCATGTGTATGATACTATTTGAATTGCTACAGAAACAATCATAACATAAGCAGAGTCAGTTTTATAGATGTGCTGCATTAGTGCATTAATCCAACACAAATATAATTTTTTCCCCCTACAGTATGCCATGGAACCTAATTATCTGCATATTTGGCCTAGAAATACCTTTATGATGATTGCGCTTCCTAACATGGTAATATAGAATTTATCAATGTAATTTTGCATCTATAAGGTTTTTCATTACTTACTTTTGTATTTTGTATGTATGCCTAATTGCTTTTACACTTAGCACGTGTATACTTTTAACATCATTGTTTAGTCTATTTAGTGATTATATCATTGAAACTTTGGGATTCCTGAGGAAAAACCTGAAGGAATTCCAATTATTTATCGTGGAAAGGAGATTGAACACATATAAGTTACAAGTGGCAGTTTGTGTGTGGTGCCTGTCCTCTCCCCCAAGATGGTGTAGGAGGAAATGGCCTTCCAATAAAGCCAAAGAGATTCGGGTTCTACACAAGGCAGTCCTTCCAGTGTGTGAGGTGTCTGGGACATTGGAATATAGATAGTCAAAAAGGGGCATGGCTGTTCTTTCATTAGACCCTAGAGACTTTTTTTGCTCTCTAGATCTAACTACATATTTGTCTAGTTGGTCTTCTTCTGTCCCTTGGCAGCAATGCTGGGGTCCAGTGCCTCGTAACATTATCTGAAGAGGAAGAAGAGACAGGAAAAGTGAGGAGAAATTCAATCCAACCAGCCGATTAGTTATATAAGGAGGGTAGTGTTTGCGATTAGTAATCTAAGGAGGGTAGTGGTTGCTTGGTGAAATGGCTGAGGTTTACCGTGTAGAAATTCTAGTAAGCGAGAAGCTGGGGAGCACCTGGGACTTGGGGGGCTTTTCTTTGGGAGCGAGGGGAGAAAGCCAGCTGTGTTTCCTGCTGGCCTGGACATTTCTGCCAGGTGTCCCTCGGCCACAGCAAGAACCTGAGACTACATTCTCTCACACTCTTCCTCTCCTTCTCGCAGAACAGATCTTTCACGTGTACTTTGTTCATGCCCTTTGACGAGTTTGAAAAACTTGTAACCAGCAGTGATGTGCTGGATTTCTTCCAGAAGTACTTTCCAGATTCCATCCCTCTAATTGGAGAGTAAGTTTCAAGATGTGCAAGTGTGCCTTTCTCTCCACTGCTTTGAGCTACTCAAAATCTAAATAAAGGTGCTGCAATAAAGGTTACTTCCGTTTGGATGAAATGTGACTGGTCCTGGACGGGAAACCTGCCTTAGAGCAAAGTCTAAAGTGGATGTTGTGTTGTGAGTGGGAATTCTGAAAACCCCATGGCAGGCCCAGTTTCCCTGGGAAAGACAAGTCACCCACGTCCCCAGGCCTCTCTGCCTCCTGTGTGGGCTCTCAGGTCCTTGGAGGTTGGTGTGCTGCAGAGTGGGGCTGTGCTTCCCTCTGCTGGTGGGCACACAGGTCCAAGGCGCAGCAGATGCGAGCTGGGGTCCTCACTTTCTAGCTGGGTTCGCTTTCCTAGCTCACAGGGCCCTCCTGGGAACATGGCGATCCATAGTGGTACCTGCCCCAGAGTGTTGAGAGGACAGGACAAGTTCTTGCCTATAGATCGTTCGGCACAGGGCCTGGCACATACAGAGCCCCCCAGCTGGGAGCTAGCTTGTTAGCTGTCTGGTTTATGACCCACGGCCCCTCTGCCTCCTGTCAATGCCACCCCCCCCCCAGGGTCTTGTCACTGGGTCTCACTAAGTACCTCTGCCCCCACTGTCCCTCCCTGGAATCCAGCTCACTCCCCACCTCCAGCAGGGTTTTCATGGAGGCAGCACAGTGCTGCAGAAAGTGAGACTTAAGGCTGCTTCTGCCCCTCACTCCCTGAGTCTCAGATCGCTCATCTTTACAATGGGCATCAGGACATCTACCTTTGGGGGGCAGTTGTGACGTGACATGCACCAACTATATAAAAGGGGTGGCCCACTGCCAGCCCACAGCAGCTCTCTTTAAAATGGTCGATTTCGATCCTTACCTGCTAACTCAGTGTGCACTGATCTCCCTTTCTCTGATGTTGAGAAATCTCTGCACGCCACAATTTACCCCTTATGTTTCGTGGTTATTTCTTGCCTCTCCAACCGGACTTAAAATTCTTGAGGGTATGTACTGTTTCTCTACTTACAACTGCCACAAATCCTCTGTAGATGCCTGACGCTCACTAGCTTCCAAATCTATGTAAAGTCACGTTCATTTTAGTTTTTGGTGTGTGTGGCTTTAATCAGATGCACCACGTCTCAATTTTTCCACTAAAACCTAAAACACAACAGAACAGTTGAAAATTGCGTGACCTGCACGCCTGATAAGAAAATTTCATGACACATAACACAGACGCATTTCGAGTTCTTGAGATGCAGTCAAACTTGTCCTGGTTGGATGTGATTAACATTGTTGAGAACAAAACAGGCAATTAGAACAATGGAATTTCAGGAACTCGAAGAAACTTCAGTTTCTCCTTTTCCTGTTTTCTTTCTGGCATTTTTGTGTGTTTCTCAATAAAATCCAATGGTAATGAAGTCAGTACATCTGAAAGAATTATGCAGGATTTAATACCCAACTTCAGGTGCTTATGTTCTGGTTGTTTCCCTTTGAAGGCAAACCCTGGTACAAGATTTTTTCCTGTTGCCGGCACAGCCCATGATATCTGTGAAGTGCTCTTCTTTTCACCTGAAGTCACACTGTGTGCTGATGGGGGACGCAGCTCACGCCATTGTGCCCTTTTTTGGGCAAGGAATGAATGCAGTAAGTCCTTTCTCCTAAAGTAAGTCAGTCTCAACCAAAAAATCGTAAATAACAATCATGCCTAAAACTATCCCCACACAACGTCTGAGAAAACAATCAATTCCACAATCCTACCAGCTGTTTAGATTGATCACCAGCTATAGTCAAGTCTTGGGTTGCTTGATCCAGTAATTTCACATAGGAAAAAGCAATAATGCAGAAGACGGTTTTCTGTGCAGTTAGAAAATATATTGATAGCTTGAAATTTGGGAACCTGTCAGCAATTCAAGCCTTAATTAAAAAAATTTTTTTTGAGATTATGCATAAATATATAAATGTTAGGCTCAAAAAAGAAAAAGAGCCCAAACTGTCTGTTGTTTTCTCCACTTTTTCTTTCCAAGGGAAAGGAAAATGCAGTTGACAGAGTTGAAGAAGACTATGAAAATAGATTTGATGTTGAATACTACTGCTTTCATGGAAGTTTTATTGTTCTGGCTAGAAAAATATATTTCTGAAAAGAAATAGTGCTCAAATATGAAACATTAATTTCAAGGAATCCTAAAATAGTTATCTAGACAGACAATTATTTTGTGTGTGTTTGATAACTAATAGCTTTATAATCACAGCCTTTTAATGTTTTGGTGATCGGGATCTATCCCAAGTGTAAATAGGCTATAAATCTAATCACTTACATTTTCCGCAAAGTAGTCTAAACACTTTGTTTTACAAACACCTAAGAACACACCAATTTTAGGATAGTGGGTAAGGGCCTGGGCTCTGGCAGTATAAGGCCCGGTTCAAATCCTGGCTCCAAGATTTATTAGAATGTTCTTGCTCAACTAACTTAAACTTACCTTTACTTCCTTGTCTGTAAAATGGGTTTTCAATAGTGCCTACACCATAGAAGTTCTTGGGGGATAAATGAATGAATTAAGTAAAGAATTTAAAAGTGTTATTATCTCAGCCTATGTGGTATTTTGCATCTCTAACTTCCTGTAGCATTAATAGTCTATATTGCTGACAAGAATATTTATTGGCTTCAGATGTAATCTCTATAATTGATGCGAAAAAGATTTTTTTAACGTTTACATTTTTTATATTGTCTCTAAAACTATAGTTTGAATTCCTAGAAAGCAGGAAACCTAGCTTTTGATTTTCTTCTTCCCCACTGCGTTTAGCGTCAAACCTTACCAAATAGTGTTAATTTTGTGGATTTCGTGACATTGGAAATTTGCTCTAATCTTTGGTTTAAAGGAACTAAATTAATATGAGAGTTCTAGCCTGTCATTAATTTCTCTAAATGTGAAGCTTAAAGACTGAATAGTTTAAATAAGATTCGAATACTCATGTTAGAGCAATATAATTGTTCTTGCTTCTTAAAGAAGCAGTGGAATCCATCAAAATTACAAGAGTAATTTAAAATTTTGATCAAATTCCAAATCATTATAATCAATATGCATTAGGCAAAGACAAACCATCAGGTATGCAGTTGAGGGTCATTTATGATCCTAATTTAATGCCATACGTGACTAAGCAGCTGTGTGCTGGTTGAAGGCAAACATCCTACGAATCATACTCATCAATGGGAAGTCTGTTCAAAATTGCTCAGAAGCTTTCATTATTTCCAGTTTATTTTTCCCTATTTTTTCTTATTTCAGGGCTTTGAAGACTGCTTGGTATTTGATGAGTTAATGGATAAATTCAACAATGACCTTAGTAAGTAAAATTTGTCAAATGGACATGGACTAGCCCTGCTGATTAATTGTGGACCTATTTCTGACCCTGGAGGAGGGCAAACCCATGATGCATTTTTCCTGTTCAGGATTATAAATTTTTCTATTAGCAGCCCATGCCACCGGTACCTACTCAGACAAGGAGCACCTAGAGAGGGAAACATAGTTTCTTTTTTTTTTTTTAAAGATTTTATTTATTTATTTGACAGAGAGATAGAGAACACAAGTAGGCAGAGGGAGAGGGAGAAGCAGGCTCCCCGCAGAGCAGGGAGCCCGATGCGGGGCTCGATCCCAGGATCCCGGGATCACGACCTGAGCCGAAGGCAGCCGCTTAACCGACTGAGCCACCCAGGCGCCTGAAACATAGTTTCTTTTAAGGTTTGTACCTGGAGGTCTGTGCAGTGATCCTCACAAAGAAAGACGTTCCCAGGACCAACGTTTGCTCAGAATACACTCCTTGCTCTCCCTTTCCATCTGGGGAACCTGCACCTGCATCCCTCCCCACCCCGCCCCAGAAACACTTGCAGGAGCTCCACTGCTTTCTTGCTTGTTGCCTTATCAACGTTGCAGTTGCTACTTCCATTTGCCTTTGGTTAAAACTGATTCCACCAGATATATTGATTTGACGGATCCTGGAGTTTAAGATATTTATATGTAATGTGGAAATTAAATTAAATTAAATTAAATGTACACCATAAGTTGCTAACAATAGCCCGAGACCTGGATAACTGTTACTGCTTCTCGGCATCCGTGGTCTCAAAGGCTACCTGTGAATTTAAACCTCGTTCAGGTAAGGGATAGATGTAGAGAACTGGCTGTAAGTCTACACCCAGATTCCAGTCCTGACTCGCCAACTTGCCTGTAAGACCTTGAGCAAGTCGTTTCAGCTTTTTGAAGTCTTGGGTTTTCTTTTTTTTCTTTTCCATCTATATAGTGGGGACAATAACACTAACTTCAGAGAGATGTGAAAATGAAGTAAAATTATTTGTGTAAAGCTCTTTTATTTATTAGTTTCAGAGGTAGAGTTTGGTGATTCATCAGTTGCATATAACACCCAGTGCTCATTACATCACATGCTCTCCTTAATGCCCATCACCCAGTTACCCCATCCCCCTACCCCCGCCCCTCCAGTAACCCTCAGTTTGTTTCCTATAGTTTAGAGTCTCTTAGGGTTTGTCTCCCTTTCTGATTTCATCTTACTTTTTTTCCCTCCCTTCCCCTATGATCCTCTATTTTGTTTCTTAAATTCCACATAAAAGTGAAATCATACAATAATTGTCTTTCTCTGATTAACTTATTTCACTTAACATAATACTTTCTAGTGTCCATTGACAGATGAATGGATAAAGATGTGGTATATATATACACACACACATATATATACACACACATATATATACATATATATATATGTATATACAGTGGAATATTACTCAGCCATCAAAAAATGAAATCTTACAATTTACAACAATGTGGATGGAACTAGAGTGTATTATGCTAAGTAAAGCTTTTTTTAAAAAAAAGTCTGGCACAAAGTGAGTTCACAGTAAATGTTTGTGATGGTGTTTTAGGAAGTCCTTGGACACTGGTGTCTGGATCAGAAGAGACTAGAGGGTCCAGGGTAAAGTTCTTCTGGTTTTCTGCCTTCCTTTTCCAGTCATCTTGCTCAGATGCTCCGGATCCAGAGGCATTTTGTTTCCTCCCGTCCCTGCCCTGGTGGGGTTGATCTGCATGTGATAGGCATGACGGAGGGGATGGAGGGTTCATATGTCAGAACATACTGTCAGCACAGTCTTGGTTACTATGGAACAAAGATAAAACAATACTGATTATGACAATGAGACTCAACTAGCATTACTGAACATTTCATATGTGTTGGGTATCTTGCTATATTTTTTAATCCATTTTCTCATTTAGTCTCCATGGAAAACATGGGGCATATGTACTATTCTTGTTCCTGTTTTACAAGCTTAGAGACTTAGAGTAACTCACCCAAACTCATATAGCTACAAGTGTTGGATCTGGGACTGACAGCCAGGTTCTCTGACTTTTGAAATGGCATCCTTAATAACTAGTGTGGATTGGCCTTGTGAGAGTTATACTGGTTAGTCATTCATTTATCAGACATTTATTCAGTATTTACCATTTACGTGGTTAAGATTTCGGACATGAATAAAACATGAGGCCTACCTCTGGGAGATCGCAGAATAATGATGGAACTGATGGTTAGCTGATAAGGTGTCTTCGGTACAGTGAAATAAATGTGGATGGTGTGGCAAGAAAGGACATAAAGGATAGTAGAAGATTCTAAGCGGGACTGCATGGGGAGGGGTCACTGACCATCATTTCTATGAGCTGCTCTCCATTTGTGAAATAAAGAAAATAATGAGGGGCGCCTGGGTGGCTCAGTCGTTAAGCGTCTGCCTTTGGCTCAGGTCATGATTCCAGGTCCTGGGATCGAGCCCCGCATCGGGCTCCCTGCTCAGCGGGAAGCCTGCTTCTCCCTCTCCCACTCCCCCTGCTTGTATT